AAATAAATAAATAAATAAATAAATAGCTAAGAGTGCAAGAAAGAAAGAAAAACTAAAAGAAAAAGAAAAAAGAAAGAAAAAAGATATCAGGAAGTGGCTTCCAATCTTCTTTACAGCAGTTATAAGGACAATTATAAATTTACCTCTTTCTCCAAAGTTACATCATGACTCTCTTCTTTCTATAATCTATCCTGTCTAATCATGAAAACCATAAATCACAAGTTCATTTTTTTCTGTTTTACACAAAAAGTCCATAAAGGGTTTCCAGTCAGCAATAAACATAGATATTGTGTTTTCTTTAATCAAATAAGTTGATTTGGCCATCTCAGCAAGTTCCATCAACTTTACCAACCGTTCCTCCACTGTGAGTAGTGCCAAATCTTTCCATTGTTGTGTATACAATAATCTCACCATAGTTAACGTGTACATAAACAAAGTTCCATGACTTTTTTCCAACTCTTTGTCCATCAATTCCCAAAGAACAACCTCTGGTCTCAGTTGCATAATAATCTTTAAAATCCTCTGAATCAGTGTGTGCATTTGAATCCAAAATTTTCTAGCTTTTTTTACACGTCCACCAAGCATGATGAAATGACCCTTCTTCTTGTTCACATTTCCAACACAAATTTGAAGTGCTTTTAAACATTCTAGACAGATTCTTTGGAACTTGGTCTTGACATTGATTGACTGACTGTGCGCCATCAAGTCACTTTTGATTCTTAATGACCACATAGATAGACCTTTTCCAACCCCCAACCTGACCCTTCAAGCCTTCCACTGGTCCCCCCATCACCACCGTAGTCCATCCTTCTTGCTGCTGGTCCTCCTCTTCTTCTCTTTCCTTCCACCTTTCCCAGAATTAGAGCCTTTTTCTGAGAGCTGGGTCTTCATGTAATGTGTCCAAAGTAGGATAATTTGAACCTGGTCATTTGTGCCCCAAGTGAGAACTTTGGGTTGATTTCTCCAATGATCCACTGGTTTATTTTCTTGGCTGTCCATGGTCTTCTCAGGAGTCTTCTTCAACACCAAGGTTCAAAGGCATCAATGCTGTTCCTATTCTGTTTCTTCGAAGTCCATTCCCCATTGGGTTAAGTCCCAAAAACCAACCAAAAAGCAACTTCTGGTCCTTCAACAGGTTTGGTAAACTGTGCTGTCTGCCTGTCAGGTCCATCAGATCATCTTTATCCATGTGCTTCTTGACACCAAAGACTTCTAACCGAGTGGTGCTGGAAGCATCCGTGCTAACTCAACTCTTCCCCAGCACAGCTTACTTTGCTGCATGCTTTACACTTGCAACTTCCCTAGGACTATGAGTTCAGGCTGCAGAATGTTTGATGACCACTGGATGGCAGCACACAGCAGGGGTTTCTCTGTGTTGGCTGCCCTCTTGTGGCTGTCTGGATTTCTGCATCCAAACGCCTTCATCAGGAGTTTTATCAGATATAAGGACAAATGAGGATAACTCCCTGGTCCCTTTTTAAAACCAGCATTATGTTGGCTGCCTTCGGCCATTCCTTAAAGAAGGTGAAGATGATGATGATGATGATGATGATGATGATGATGATGATGATAGCTTGTCCCATCCACGTTCTTATTCCAGTGTGTACAGCCACACCAGTGGTGGTGTTCAAGTGGAAGGTTAGCTGTGATAAGTCTGTTCTGCTTCAGAGGTGACGCTCTTTCCTGCCCCAAAATGACAGGAGGCCCTGGGTGTGACCTGAGCAGTCAGCAAAGATATTTTGGAGAAGTGGTTGGAAAGCAGGGCCAGGCTGCTTCAGGTCTGGCATGAGGACCCTGCCGTAGCTGTTGGCAGCTCCTTAAAAGAGCGGTGCCTCTTCCTGGCCTCTCGTAGCCATGCAGGCTCAGGAGGAGATGTGCCTGAGCCTTAAGGAGGCGGTGACCCGGCACCAACAGGTAAAGCCTTCTTCAGCTGGTGCCACCGCTTGTGGTAGACAGGTAGGACCTGAAGGGCATGGCTCCCCAGCTAGCTGTGCAAAATTGGCAGACCCCCGCCTTTCACACTGCCTTTCACCTGCCTCGCAAGACCCCTTCTGTTTTTCCCATTGTGGTAGCGCTGGTGGCCTTGAAGCAAGCCCCTTTTGTTTCCCCAGGCCACTTTTGCTCTGGGACAAGCCGGGCTTGCGGTCCAAGGTGGTCAGCATCCCCTGGCCTCAGAGCCACAAGGACACCATGCACGGCAGGCTGTGTGGCGACCTCATGATGCACCTTGGGTCGTTGCGTTCTCCAGGCTGGGGTGCGCTTACATCATTTGCACAATGATGTCATGAAGCGCATTATGTGAGGTGCCCCCTTTCCACCCCACGCTCGGCCCCCCCAGTGGAGGCCCAGGATCAGCCGGATCTTTTATGTCTTGGTTTGCTCGGAGGTGACTGGGGGCTCTTTGACTGCGCCATCTGTTCCCAGCATCCCGACCCCTCGCTTATGAATGTGCCTTTGTTACCCTCTCCTTTTCCAGTTTCTGAAGGGAAACTTTTTCTTCATGCGCTAGTAACCGGGTTAAATATTAGTGGGGGGGACTCGGATCTGTGGCGGGGAAGTAATTCTAGGTGCAGTTGGAGCTGCGTGGACGGACGCTCCTCCTGCAGCAGGGACGGTAATTAGCATCGTCGCTGGCTGGTTGCAAGGCGGCTGACCGAAAGGTTTGCTTTGAGAAGCAGCCATAAGGGAGTCATCCTGGGTCTCCCGTCGCACAGCAAGCGAGAACAAAAACAGAAACCCAGTTTGGCTTCTCCTTCCTAAAAGGTGTCACCATGACAGTCCCTTGACCTGGGGTCAACCTTCAGTCCTGTGAGCCGCCGAAATAAACCGGCTGCCTCCCTCTGCCTCCTGTAAGCCCTTTAAGTTCATATTTCTAAGATTTTCCCCCACTGGTTGCTCAACTGCACCTTACGACGTACGAAAAATGCACCAAACAGCCGCCTCTGACCCGGGTGGATAGAAGTGCCCCCGTTCTGCATCCTCCTCTCACTGATGGACGGATCACTTTCTCCCCATCTAAGTTCACGTCAAGAAAAAAGGCATTTTAGCAGGGTAGGATTTGGGCACAAGGCCCCCTTTGTGCAATAAGGTTACTTGTTTTCTGTAAAACCTTTTTAAAAAACCCAGCCTAATAAACACATAATAAAAGAGAGATTTTCAAGAGGGTGATCAAGGTGGTGCCCGCTGGAAAGGCGACAGCTGAAGGCACGGGGAGCAGTTGTGGGTTCAGGCGCTGCCCTTGCCCAAAGCATGCCATGCCTCCCCCCAGGATGACGTGGTGGGACCAGCAGAGCCAGTGGGGGAGGGGGGGCACATTTCAGGACCCAAGTCAAATTTAAAATGGTTTTCTGCAGGAGGAGCCCTGATTGCGCAGGTTACCCAGGACACCAGTTGCCGGGAGCTACTCCAGAGCTCCCCCAGAGCTCGGGTTTTTCTTTTGTAAATTCGACAGCCCCAGAATCCTGGTCAGAACTGAATGTCTGCTTGTCCCCCGTTGAGCGCATTTTGATGGTTGACCTCATCTGAAAAAGGAGGGGCAGGCGTTTCGGGCAGGCGCGCGTTTCCATGGCCGGCTGATGTCAGTGAAGGAGGGCATTTTCTCTCAGGGTGGAGGGGGGCCCTGCGGGTCCTGGAAGAGGAGCCACGCGTGGCGGTCAGAGGAGGGCTCCGTGGCCAAGCCGAGCTCTGCGCTCCTGGCTCTCGGCCTCAGGTGTTCAGCTCCACTAGGAAGGCAAGCGATAATGGCTGAATTGCGTCAGTTGCCGGCGCCTGGTAAAAGCCACAGCAATGTCCCCTGTGTTGCGATGTCGTCATGCAAATGACATAATTGGAATAATTTACATGATGATGTCATAACACAGGGGACATCCTTCCCCCGCACTTCTTGGATAGATTTTCACAGATGTGCTAAGCCATAATGTAACTTTGCTGGTTATCACTTAGTGTAGTGGGTAAATCCAGCCAATGGTGGTTTGCAGACTGGGTTTAGGACTTCTTGGGTTCAGCCTAGCCAATTGTGATTTATCAACAAGCCATGGGCTTTGCCTAATGTGTGGACTCCGGCACACACACAGACAGAGGATTAACGCCCATGCTAATAGCATCAGGCACTTCCCAGATACAATTAAAAATGGTAGAAATACAAGGTGGGATTACGTCCTCAAAGCATTCGACATGGCTTGCTTCTTGCTGCACTCAAAGGCTGCTGAAAGAGAAAGCCTTTCATCTCTGGTTGCTCTGATGCAGTGTTGCTCAACCAGCCTGGTTGGGGAATTCTGGGAGTTGAAGTCCACCCATCTTCAAATTGCCAAGGTTGAAAAACACTGCTCTAATCTCACATTTTCAGAGCCAAAAGCTCAAATTATATGCAAGGAATCCTCCTATGATTTTCCTTCAAAGGGAGGGGGGAACTAATGGGCTCATGCTGGCTGGGGAATTCTGGGAGTTGAAGTCCATATATCTTAAAGTTGCTGAGGTTGAGAAACCCTGCTCTGATGGGATCAGACTTTCTAGGGAAAGCTAGATCATTTTCCAACATACATCTGAACTTGGTTTGGGGCGGAATTGTGTAGTTTTATTTTTATTTTGATTGAAAAGTCACATTTACTGTCCGATGAGGACACCTAACCGTAAACACTCATTCTTTCCCTGGGTTAGAGGAGGTTTGCAGCTGGCGTTTCCAGCTGTCTCTTGGAGCGGGCAGGTCAGCAGACCTTCCCGGGCACTATGAGGGCTTCTGATCACAGCCTCTGAAGTCATTTCTCTTTGTCCAGCGTTAATAAACAGAAGGCAGCCTTTGAGGATGGGGAAAGTGCTCCTGCCCACCGGAGGGACAGGCCGGGCGGGCCGGGTGTCCACCCGGGCCCCCTTCAGCCCTCGCCTCTGCAAAACCGGAGGGACCCAGCTCGGGCTCCCTGCAGGGGGGCAGCGCTTCTGCAGAGGAGCCCGAAGCCCTGGGGAAGGGGCTGGGCTTGCTTTCTCACCAGCGCAGCACGATGGAAGTTTCAAATGTGGTCAGAAAACAAACCGGCTTGTAGGCTGGCAGGAAACGATCTTTTGCAGCGACGGGAAGTGGGATCCAGCTGGTATCGGCCCCGTCGCCTGCAGCCAGAAAGCCCCATTGATAGCAGAGGCCTGAAGAGCAGAGGCCACGGAGGGGGGAGCTGCCAGCCCCTTCCCCCCCAGGCCTTAACCCTGTTAAGCCTATTAGGACCTCTCTTTCCAGCCCTCTAAGTTGGCTCCCCGTTCCCAAGGGGGAGTCGCCATCTGCGTCCCTGGAAGCCTCGCTCGCTGGGGGCCGCCCCAGCAGCGCCCCCCGCCACTCCCGCGGTGCATTCTTGGGGCTCCAATCCCCTTTTCCACAAGGGCGTCCCAAGGGCAAAACCCTGGGCCCACAGGAAAATGCCAGGGGGTCTCTTGCTTTGCACTTCGATGGCTTTGCATTGGGAAGGCGATTCAGTAGGTTGCTCACTGACCCAAAAGGGGGGGTGCTGCCCCTCTCGGGAGGTGCTCTTAGCTTGGGGAACTGGAGGGGGGTCTGGTGATGCCTGGAGTGGAGAAGGTGTTCTGTGCAGGGCCGGCATAGAGGTTATGGGCACAGCAGTGCTGCAGAGAGAGAAGTCAGCTGCTTGCACGGTTTAGACCAGTGTTTCTCAACCTCGGGGGCTTGAAGATGTGTGGACTTCAACTCCCAGAATTCCCCAGCCAGCTATGCTGGCT